CTTTAAGAGACAGTTTGGCAGCTTCTTACAAAACTAAACATAGTCTTGCCATACAGTCCAGCAGTTGTGCTCCTTGGTAATTACACAAAGTAGTTACAACTTATTTCTACACCAAAACCTGCAAAGAGATATTTACACCAGCTATATTCATAATTGCCAAAACTTGGAAGCAACCAAGATGCCCTTCAGGAGGTAAATGGATAATAAAATGTAGTATATCCAGACAATGGAATATTATTCACTACTAAAAATAAATAAGCTATCAAGACATGAAAAACACTTAGAAACCTTAAGTGCATATTAGTAAGCAAAGAAATTGATATGGTTTTGTTGTGTCCCCACCCAAATCCCATCTTGAATTCCCACATGTTGTAAGAGGGGCCCAGTGGAAGGAAATTGAATTATGGGGGCAGGTTTTTCCCATGCTGTTCTCATGATAGTAAGTCTCACGAGATCTGATGGTTATTATAAGGGATAGTTTTTCTGCACAAGTTCTCTTTGCCTGCTGCCATCCGTGTAAGACAAAACTTGCTCTTCCTTGCCTTCTGCCATGATTGTGAGGCTTTTCCAACCACATGGAACTATAAGTCCAATTAAACCTCTTTCTTTTGTAAATTTCCCAGTCTTGGGTATGTCTTTATCAGCAGTGTGAAAACAGATTAATACAGTAAACTGATACCAGGAGTGGGGTGCTCCTGAAAAGATAACCAAAAATGTGGAAGCGACTTTGTAACTGTGTAACAGGTAGAGGTTGGAACAGTTTGGAGGACTCAGAAGAAGACAGGAAGCTGGGGGAGAGTTTGGAACTTCCTAGATACTTGTCGAATGGCTGTGACCAAAATGCTGATAGTGACATGGACTGCAAAGTCCAGGCTGATGAGATATCACATGGAAGTGAAGAACTTCTTGATAATTGAAGCAAAGGTCACTTTCGTTATGCTTCAGCAAAGAGCTTGGCCACATTATGTCTCTGCCCTAGGGATCTGTGGAACTTTGAACTTGAGAGTAATGATTTAGGGTATCTGGCAGAAGAAATTTCTAAGCAGCAAAGTGTTTAAGATCTGGCCTGGCTGCTTGTAACAACCTATGCTTATATGTATGAGCAAAGAAAGGACCTGAAACTGGAACTTATATTTAAAATGAAAGCAGAGCATACAGGTTTGGAAAATTTGCAGCCTGGCCATATGGTAGCCAAAAGTCAGAGACATTTTGCATAGTCATTTGAACCATCTAAAATTATTTTTCCCATGTACATAAATTATTTATTTTGTATAAGTAGTTATTAGCTCAGCTAACTAATAAGATCTAAATTGAGTCCTCTGGAATAAAATTAAAAGGTAAGAGAGAAACTGAAGCAGGATGATCATGAAAAATGAAAGACTCAAAGTCAAGGTATCTTCAGTGTCAATTATTATATCAGTAATCTGAATAGTTCAATTTCTTTGTAGCCTGTGAAGCAGGGGATCTTGCATACCATTCTCTTACTCTCACTTTTTGTGCATAAGGACCCTTATAAAGAGCAAAAATGTACTCCTTATGGGTCAATAAACTGACTGATATGTGTTAAACACCTTCAATAGACAAGCAAAAGAACATCTCCAATATTTGCAAAGATGCCAGTATATCTGCAATTAAATCAAAAACTTCTTCCTTTTGCCATTCTTTATCTTCTCATAGCCCTGGCCACCATCTACTGCTCCATCTATTCTCCCTTTCTGTAGAAGAAATGGCTTGAAAGACACTGGGGAAGCTATAAGATTCCTTTCTCACACCAATCTACATAGAAAAAGTTTCACCTCAATAGTTTTCATCTTCAGACTCTGAACACTACCTATTCATCTTAAGTAATGTCTTAGTGAGAAAAAGCCATCTTGCTGAGATATTATGGAAACTAAAAGTCTCTGTTGCCATATCTCAGCAAGGTATCTTTTAGGCATAAGTCATTTTTTTAAGACAGAATATCACTCTATTGCCTAGGCTGGAGTGCAGTGGCACAGTCTCAGCTCACTGCAACCTCTGTCTCCCAAGTTCAAGCGATTCTCTTGCCTCAGCCTCCCAAGTAGATGGGATTACAGACACCTGCCACCATGCCTAGCTAATTTTTGTATTTTTAGTAGAGATGGAGTTTACCAGCCTGGTCTCAAACTCCTGACCTCAGGTAATCCACCCGCCTCCGCCGGCCAAAATGCTGGGATTACAGGCGTGAGCCACCATGCCTGACCATGAGTCATATCTTTTAGGGATTAGTCACATTTTTGGGCAAAACCAGTCCATGCATGTCATGTAATTTCCCAAAATAGAAACTAAGAAATGTTCCTTCTTCTTTTTCCATATATGTGGTCACATGTTCTACTCTCTCCTCTTCCATTATTTCTTATATTTCTTTAATATTAATGATTTTTAAATTTTTACTTATTTTTATTTTTACTTTTTGTAGGTGCATGCTAGGTGTATATATCATGTAGTACATGAGCTGTTTTGATACAGGCATGCAATGTGAACTAGTCACATCATGGAGAATAGGGTGTCCTTCTCTTCAAGCATTTATCCTTTGTGTTACAAACAGTTCAATTACACTCTTTTAGTTATTTTTAGATGTACAATTATTATTGACTATAGTCACCCTGTTATGCTATCAAATGGTGGGTCTTATTCTTTCTAAGTTTTGGTACTCATTAACCATCCCTGTCTCCCCCTGCCACCCCATTACCTTTGCAGCCTCAGACCATCCTCCTACTCTCTATGTTCCTGATTTCAATTGTTTTGATTTTTAGATCCCACAAATAAGAAAGAACATGTGATGTTTGTCTTTCTGTGCCTGGCTTATTTCACTTAGCATAATGATCTCTAGTTTTATCCATGTAGTTGCAAATGACAACTGGAATCTCATTCTTTTTTATGGCTGAATGGTACTTTTGCATATATGTACCACATTTTCTTTATCCATTCATCGACTGATGAACACTTAAGTTGCTTCCAAATCTTAGCTATTGTGAACAGTGCCACAACAAATGGGGGGTACAGATATCTCCTTGATATACTAGTTTCCTTTCTTTGGGTATATACCCAACTATATCACATAGTAGCTCTATTTTTAGTTTCTTAAGGAAACTAAAACTGTTCTCCATAGTGATTGTACTATTTTACATTCCAATCAATAGTGTATGAGGGTTCTCTTTTCCTCACATCCTTGCCAGCATTTGTTATTGTCTGTCTTTTGGATATAAAGCATTTTAACTGGGATAAAATGCTATCTCGTTTTAGTTTTGATTTGCATTTCTCTGATGGTCGATGATGTCAAAAACCTTTTCATATGCCCATTTACAATTTGTACATCTTCTTTTGAGAAATGCCTATGCAAATCTTCTGCTTGTTTTTTTAAACAGATTATTTCATCTTTTCCTATAGAGTTGTTTGAGTTCCTCATATATTCTGGTTATTAATCCCTTGTCAGATGGGTAGTTTGCAAATACTTTTCCACCACTCTGTGTATTGTCTTTTCACTTTGTTGATTGTATCTTTTGCTGTGTAGAGTGTTTTAACTTGATGTGATCACATTTGCCCCTTTTTACTTTGATTGCCTGCGCTTGTGGGTTGTTGCTCAAGAAATTTTTGCCCAAACCAATGTCCTGGAGATTTTCCCCAGTGTTTTCTTGTAGTATTTCCAGAGTTTGTGATCTTAAATTTAAGACTTCAATCTATTTTGATTTTATTTTTGTATATGGTAAAAGACAGTGGTCTAGTTTCATTCTTCTGCACGTGGATATCCAGTTTTTCCAGCACCATTTATGGAAGAGACTGTAATTTCCCCAGTGTATGTTCTTGGCACCTTTGTCAAAAATGAGTTCACTGTAGATGTGTGAATTTGTTTCTGGGTTCTCTATTCTGTTCCATTGGTCTATGTATCTGATTTTATGCCAGTACCATGCTGTTTTGGTTACCATAACTCTGTAGTACACTTTAAAGTCAGGTAATATTATTCTTCCAGTTTTGTTCTTTTTTTTATGATAACTTTGGCTATTCTGCATCTTTTGTAGTTCTATATAAATTTTAGGATTTTTTTTCTATTTCTGTGAAGAATGTCATTGGTATTTTGATAGGGATTGTACTGAATCTGTAGACTGTTTGGGGTAGTATGGATATTTTATCAATATTAATACTTACAGTCCATGAACATGGAGTATTTTTTAGGTATCCTCTTCAATTTCTTTCATCAGTGTTTTATACTTTTTATTATAGAGATCTTCACTTCTTCGATTAAGTTAATCCCTAGTTATTTAATTTCATTGGTGGCTATTGTAAATAGGATTACTTGTTTATTTCTTTTTCAGATTGTTTACTGTTGACATGTAGAAACACTACTGATTTTTTGTATGTTGACTCTGTATCTTGCAACTTTACTGAATTTTTAGTTCTAAGGTTTTTTTGTGGAGTCTTTAGGTTTTTCCAAATATAAAATCATATCATCTGCAAACAAGAAAAATTTGATTTCTTCCATTTATAATTCTTTTTTTCTTTAAGAACCTATTATTTCTTGGGCAGAAGCTTTCCTAAGAAATCATCCCATCTTGCCATAGCTGAATGTATACCCCATTCAGGTACATATTAAGCATTTGCAACCTCATCTGCCACATCTGTGTCTGTAAACATACTATTTTCTTGGATGGCCTAAGACAAGGTCAGGAGGCTACATTCTATACAAGGATGAACAGCTAGACCATTTCATTTATCTCGAGATTTTATACTTTTTAAAACACAAATTTCAAACAAGGTTAAAGAACTATGGTGTCATTCTGTTTTCACTCTCATTGTTAAAGTATCTGGTGTGAGGCATTTCTACTTTTAGTTATTGTATCGTGTTTTAGAGTTTATTTAGATGGCTTTCACACTAAGAGTGCCTGGGCTGAGTGGTGGGCAACAACAATAGTAGAGTAGTTCCTGGTCCCTAACCAGAGTGGATCACAGTGGCTGACACTCAGCAGCTGGGCCCCTCCTGCTGCTCAGAGTTTGTGCTCAGCTTCCCCTGCAGTCCCTGTCACTGTGTCACTCAGAGCACAGAAGTACACAGCTGAGTCTGACTCTTGAACTGAGTCTTTCTTCAAGTGGAAAGAAGTGGTTTCTTTACGGTATGTGGCTTCAAAACCTTTGTTGCTTTCCTTGTCATTGAACTTCATGGCTTTCAGGAGGAGCTGTGGACCTTCTCCAGGATATTGGACATACCAGAAAAGGGAAGGGTACTGTGTGCTTTCATAGGAGCAGTTCACAATCAGGGAATCCCCTTCAGAGAGGAGCACTTGGCCTTCTGTCTGGACCACTGAATCTCCATTGATTCCCCCTGAAAAAAAAAAAATAAGTTATACCAAGTTACCTTAGACATGATCTGAGCTGTACCCCTCAGAGAAAACTGTGGTTACAGATTACATCAACATAATGGAACAAAAGATTCTAAGTTTTAAGTGCCATTTTACTTACCAAACATTAAGAATAGTGCAATCACTGATCCTGGAAAAGAGTTCATTTTTAGACCCTCTGGTGTCCTTGGGTCTTGTCTTCTTAGTGTGAGGAAAGGTTAAGGTCACACTGAAGGGATGAGTATCAGCAGGAAATGTGAATGTGTTAGGAAGATGCACCCCCTTGTGGGCAAGATCCTAAATTCAAAATATTGTTGACTGTTCTCTCAAAAGTCCATCCTGTATCTTCACTTTTGGCTTTTTTTTTTTTCTAAGACACCTGTTAGCTGTCTGATAGTTCTTTGTATATCTAAAGAATAGTTGGTCTTTTTTATAATCCTATTTTTTACAGCACACTGTCTGACTTGCAAGTTCTTTTCATACCATGACACTTCTGAGAATAATTCATTTTACTTTTTCTTATGTAGCCATCTTTGCCCACCCCATGATCCACTAAAATATCATATAAGCAGGTTTTTAGGGTAAAACCAGAAGAACGTCAGTAGCACATGTTTAATTGTTAGTAGATTATTTGAGATGACAGAGACAAGTTTTTTTTCACTGCTGTATTCCCATACCTAGTACAATGTCATACACTCAGCAGGTGGTTAGGAAATACTTCTTAAATACACAAATGCATGAACAAATGAATGGTCTTTGGTTAAGGAATTGCTACTACTTGAAATATCATATTGCTTCACATTTAAGGCATCAATTACAGAAACACAATAAATTCTTTTCAAAGAAAAAATGAAATTCTATCTTGTATATGTATATTGATTAAAAAGTAAAGAACATATAACTCTTAGTAATGAAAAATATAGTAATTAAAGTCATTGAATCCCTATAAAATTATCTGGCATCACTTTCTTCTCCTGTAAGAGAAGAAATGATTCCCAGATAATGTGACTGGCCTATGTGCATGAGGCAAAATGTTGTGATATTAAACTTTTAATGGACATTTAGCCTTGATTATATACCCTCTACCTGTGTCCATCCACCAATACTATTGACCAATAGTTATTTTTACCACAGGATAAGATGCTTAAATAATTTGGATTTGCCTCAAAAGACCAAAGAATAAGCTCCATCTCAGCTTCCAGGATTGGTAGAAACACGTCTGCTGATGTATAGAATCATAGCAAGGATGACACTTCTCTTCATGCAAGAGTTAGTTGGTGGTCATCTTTAAAATACAGATTTGGAGATCTGTTCACTTACAGAATCAAAATGTTCAGAATCAAGGTCCTGGAAGTTAAAAATCTCCTCAGGTGTTTGTGATACAGCCAGTGTTATACACATTTCCAAAATAATCTTTGAGAACACTGACCTAAGCAGACAGACAAGGTATCAGTGAAGCACTTCTGGGATCAGCATGAGGAAAAAAAACTCCAGTCTTCACAGATTCTCCTTTCACGGTAGTACTGAAGTCACAGTAGCTAAAACAAATGCTGTTTACTCTCACTATTCTCACTATTCTTGTCTAGTCAACTTATAATAAAAATCTCTGGATGTTCCCAGGACAAACTTGGTAAGAAGGATGCCGTTTATCGGTCAGCCCACTAACATTTATCTTTGAACCTGGAAGCCTTCCATTGTGCTTCCTGAAACATTCACTCTCCATGAATTCAGAAACAGCAGTTACATGGTACTGCAGCAAGGTGTAAATATTAACAAACTCTAAACGTGGGAAGCAAATTTAGATGTGAGTATTATTTGGGTCTATACAAAGGCTCCCCTCCTTTTCCCTCTTACCTTGTGTCAGAGCTCTGTGATCAAGCTGCATCTTCCTCCTTTTCCTGGTTGTTTTGGCCCATTCATCTAACTGACTCTACCTGAAGTCTAAGCAGAAATATAGAGTGAGCAGTTTCACTGTCCCTAAATTTCTTTACTTTTTCCAAGGAAACCTTGTCCTTAGTATTGTAACCACCCTCCATTCTTTTGAGGGAATCTGTTTTCCACACCTGGTGTATTCGTCTATTGTGGCATTGCTAGAAAGAGATATCTGAGACTGGATAATTGATAAAGAAAGGAGGTTTAATTGACTCACGGTTCTGCAGACTGTACAAGAAGCATAGAGGCTTCTGCTTCTGGGAGCCTTGGGAAGCTTCCAATCATGGTGAAAGGCAAAGCTGAAGCACGGCATCTTACATGGCAAAAACAGGAGCGAGAGAGAGTGCGGGAAGGTGCCACACACTTTTAAACAACCAGATCTCACAAGAACTCACTCATTATTTCAAGAACAGAACCAAGGGAATGGTGCTAAACCATTCATGAAAGGTCCACCCCAGTGATCCAACCACCTCCCACCAGGCCCCACCTCCAATGCTGAGGATTACAATTGAACATGAGATTTGGGTGGGGACACAGGTCCAGGTTATATCACCATGATTTCATAAGGAGATGAATGTCATAGAGGAACTGTAGCAGTAGATTTGAGTGAAACACAGTAGAACTGTGTAATCAATGATAAAAATACTTAAGCAAATTCCCAACTGATAACAGATGTATTCAAATGGTCTGACTTCAAGCCTCAGAAGCTCTGTTTCAAGGACTTGAATTTACACAGATGTGTTGTCGGTCAAGAGTCAGTCTGGCAAACAGAAATGCTGGGCTAGGTGTCAGCGCCACGGCAATGGAAAGTGATTGGCTCATGGTAATAAGAAGAATTTACCCACAGCAGTGTGGGTTTGAAAAGGAAAGCTTTATTAGAAACAAAGCTGCAGAGGAATGCAGGAGGGCACTTCAGCAAGAGCGGACTGAGCAAGCCAGGGTGGATTTTTCCTTAGGAGCATTTATGAACCTTAAAGCAGGAGCTTAAGGGTAATTTGGACCATATTAGCCCCCTAGGTCAGGATAAATGATTACATTTGTAGACATTTTGGTGCCTTGATGTCAGCAAGGACTGCGCAATAGGTTTCAATATACACATGTTCCAGAGATGTATAGAAATTCTAGTTACTTATACATTTTTGGGAAAGGAGCCTGGTACTACACATCTGCTTTTGATAATAGGGACGTTGATTAATAACTACTTCTGAATTCCTCAGATAAGGAGTTTTGCCTCTGGATGATCTGCTTGATGGCCACCACGTGGTCTTCGATCTCCTCATAAAACAATCCAAAAATGTTCAGTAGAAAGACATTTAGAGTTCAGGCAGATAATGTGGTGAGAAGCAGCGCACGGCGAGGAGGATGAGCTGGGGCCCTGCGAACCTCTTTCCCTCCTCACTTCAGTGAGCTGATGGCAGCAGCCACTCTGAGCCCAGACCTCGCTGGGCTATAAAGCACTTTAGAACCCTCTAGAAATCCTCCTGAGCCTTGGCGAAGACCTCACCGAGCTGCTGAGGACACCGTGCCTTTGGGAGGAAATGGAGGTGGCAGAGGGAGAAGAATGGCAGCCACCAGAAGGCGCTGAGGGCTGCAGTAGTTGGAAGAACCCAAGAAGGCGGGCCTAGAGACACAAGCTCAGGAACTTCATTACGCCATGGAGTTGCACAGATGCAGGTCCCGGGCTAGCCACTTTGTCCCAGTTAGACAAGACCTTACCTCTTCCCAAAACCACCAGAAATGATGGACAAAGGCCTAAGAAGGTGAGCAGAGCCCCCACAAGGACAGGTGGAGTGGTTAGTAGGCCATTGGGTGGTTGCTGTTTGTTCAACCAAACCTTGATATCCAAAGAGAGAAATTGCATGCCACATTTAGTGGATTGGAAATGCCTACCACCATTTGGGAGGATTTACTGGCCTTCACAGAAGGCCCAGGTAAATAATATGAAAAAGCTACTCTCAACTTTTCCCTCAACCTTTCAAAAAGAAATTTTTGCTCCCCATAGCCATTCTAGATTTAAAGAGGTTGCTGACGTATAATATAGTTAGAAAATCACATGTCAGCCGAGTGCGGTGGCTCACACCTGCAATCCCAGCACTTTGGGAGGCCAAGGCGGGTAGATCACCTGAGGTCCAGAGTCCGAGACCAGCCTGACCAACATGGGGAAACCCCATCTCTACTGAAAATACAAAATTAGCCGGGCATGGTGGCACATGCCTGTAATCCCAGCTACTTGAGAGGCTGAGGCAGGAGAATTGCTTGAACCCAGGACGCAGAGGTTGCTGTGAGCCAAGATCGCACCATTGCACTTCAGCCTGGGCAACAAGAGTGAAACTCCATCTCAAATAAATAAATAAATAAATAAATAAATAAATAAAATCACATGTCTTGTAAATGCCCATTTGTTCTTTTAAAAAATCGTAGAAAGCAAACGCCTTCTGGAAATGACTCTTTGAAACGAAAGCTGTTAGACCAGCTCTAGAAGTGACCCCAGGAGCAACACACCACCACGTTCATTCAGTGGGTTAGAGGCCATGGAGCAGAAGGCAGTGAGAATGAGGAGAAGGTTCTATTCCAGACTGGTCATGCTTAGGAGACATTTTCATATTATAACCACTGTTTTAGGTGTGCATTTTATTCCTCACTACTGTATATATTGTTGACAGTACTAAGAAATTTTTTGAAATATCTTGTCTTTCTTTTTATTTTATTTATTTTTATTTATTCATTTATTACTTTAAGGTGTGAGGTACATGTGCAGAATGTACAGGTTTGTTACATAGGTATACATGTTCCACAGTGGTTTGCTGCATCTATCAACCCATCATCTATATTAGGTATTTCTCCTAATGCTATCCCTCCCCCAGGCCCCCTCCCCCCGACAGGCCCTGGTGTATGATATTCCCTTCCCTGTGTCTATGTGTTCTCATTGTTCAACTCCCACTTATGAGTGAGAACATGCGGTGTTTGCTTTTCTGTTCCTGTGTTAGTTTGCTGAGAATGATGGTTTCTAGCTTCATTTATGTCCCTGCAAAAGACATGAACTCATCCTTTTATATGGCTGCGTGGTATTCCATGGTGTATATGTGCCACATTTTCTTTATCCAGTCTATCATTGATAGGCATTTTGGTTGGTTCCAAGTCTTTGCTATTGTGAACAGTGTTGCAATAAACATACGTGTGCATGTGTCTTTATAGCAGAATGATTTCTAATCCTTTGGGTATGTACCCAGTAATGGGATGGCTGGGTCATATGGGACTTCTAGTTCTAGATCCCTGAGGAATCACCACACTGTCTTCCA